AATGACACAATGAATATTACCAGTACCAAACAACAATGGGGACCACAGTACTACAATGTCAAAACAGTGAGAACCTTTGCACATACTTCTATCGCACACACAGTTCAGGCTTCAGCTTTGCAATGTACACTGCCTCCAGAAAAGCAAGGTGAGATTATTTGAGCACACGCGCTTGAGTGGCAAAGTGGCAAGGAGTGCCATGTTTGTAATTAGTGCCATGTGCATATTTGAACTGTGTGTGCAAAAGAAGTATGTGCCAAAAGTTGTCACTGTTTTGACATTGTAGTACTGTGGTCCCTATTGTTGTTTGATACTATTAAAATTATTTATTTTCACTAGGTGGTTTGGTGCTACTAGCGCTATCTCTTAAAGTGTTATTTGGTCAATGCTCTGACCGGTAAACATTTAGTTGGCGTTGAAATGGAGTATCCCGTTGTACCCTTGTGCTGCAAGCATTCCTTATGTGCGCTGCCTAGTAATCATTGTCACGTGCGTGCGCACGTGTATGCTGTTCCGTGTATGCACTCATGCATGCACTTTGTGTTCCTGTGTCCCGACATGCTTCCGGGACCCAGGCCGTTCTGCACGCATGCAGATTTGCTCTTGGGTTCTTGTTGTGTCTTGAGGAAGTTTGCAAAGGAGTTGTGTCTTGCGCTTAGCTTTGCTTTCACTCTCAAAACCATGTAAATATTTAATATAGTCTATTTTAGAACTCCTTGTGCGAGTTGTGGTGTCCGTGGGTTTGTAGTGTGGGTGCAGTTCCCCAACAAGTGGTACCGAAACCCGGCCTAGTTTGATTTGCTGTTGTACGAGCGTAGAGTATGTCTGGATCGGCGAGTTCGTTGCCTCGAGTGAAATGTTTCACGGGTGGTCGAGGAGAGGACTTGGAAGTCTTTCTGACAAAGTTTCAGCTCACGGCAGGTCATCATGGTTGGACCAACAAAGCCCAACGTGCCGCGCAGCTCCCCATGTTCCTTGAGGGCCAAGCGTTTGTCGTTTGGAACCAGCTGACGGACAGGGACAAAAAGGATGACAAGACTATTGCTTCGGCATTGAGATCGGCCTTTGGCCTGACGCCGGCACAGGCGTACTCTCAATTTGTGAAGCGCATCCTACGTGTGGATGAGAGTGTCGGATTTGCGCCGGCTTCTGGCCACCAGTGGACACATGGAAACTTACGATGGCAGGGACCCTCTGCTGCTCGAGCAGTTCCTCGCTGGTTTGCCACCAGATTTTGCTCTCCAGCTGAGAATGCAGCTGGCGATCAACGACCTGACCCTGGCCCAGTGTGTCAGCCAGGTGCGGACCCTGCGTGCCTCTCAGAGTTTGCCGAGACCTGCTGGCAGCGTTGTGGCCAGCGCATCGGGAAGTCGTTCCACAGTGACGTGCTATCACTGTAAGCAGCCAGGTCACAGGAAACCGGATTGTCCCCAACGTCAACGGCCATCGCCACACAAGGGTGGCAATGGAAGTTCTGGCGCTAGTGGCAGTGGCAATGGTGGTCAGTCTGGTGGTAGTGGTCGGAAAGGCCCGAAGTGTTTCAAGTGCCACGAGTTTGGCCACATCCAACCGAATTGCCCGCAGAATGTGTCTGCCTCCGCTGTGAAAAAGGGCTCTAACAAGCCAACATTGACTGGTTGTCTGGCCGCTACTGTTTCACCGGTACCCCACGCAGTTTCGCCTCTGCCGCGCATGATTGTTGACGTGGTGTCTGGTGAGACGACCCATGAGTACGGTGCTGCTATCGACAGCTGTTCAACCCAGTCGTTTGTCGCTGCCCACGTAGTGTCAGCCCTCAACCTGGATGTGTCCCCGTGTTCCAGCTCCATAGTGAGTGTCACCGGCGATCCGGTACCGGTTCTCGGCTCCGTATCCATGCGGCTTGGCCGCCACAGCGCTGCCGTCCAGCTACCGGACACGGAATCGGCATTTCTCGTGGTGGACGATCTAGCGTCAGTCGACGCAGATGTTCTTCTTGGTGTGGACATTATCTCGGGCCATGGTGGTGTCGTCTTGCAGTATGATGAATTGACCGGCCAGCTGTGCAGGGCTCAGTTCGGGAGTCTGCCTGAGACACCTAGCGTGCCGCCACCACACAGCAGCAGTAGTAAGAATTTGTCTCGTCATGTGACAATATCTGAGGAGAATGGTGTGGTGCGCCTTGATATGAGTGATGGCACCGCTACCTTCAATCCAGCAGACGGCTACTGGGAGATCGCATGGAGGTGGTCCGCTGGTAGTCCCCCCAAAGACCGAGTCGGTAGTGGTCTCGGTGAATACTCACGCAAGAAGCTCTCTGAAGAACAAGAGCAGCTGTTTCGAGCTGAGGTGCAGATGTGGATTGACCAAGGATGGCTAGTACCACACGATGCTGAGGTGCATGGTTCACCCATTGCAGTCTTGCCACTGCTTGCTAATTGTCAGGAGCACAAACTGTCGACTCCCGTAAGGCCTTGCCTTGACTACCGTGCTCTCAACCAGCTCATTGTGTCAAACCCCGGCAATGATGTGCCGGTCTGTCCCGAGAAAATCCGTGAGTGGCGTCAACGTCCCAGTGAGTCCACTGTTCTCGACATTCGGAAAGCATATCTCAACATCCGTGTCCATCCCAGTTTGCTGCCATACCAGACCGTCCTTTGGCAGGGGAAGACGTACGTGATGGAGCGCATGGGCTTTGGGCTTTCAGTAGCGCCCAAACTCATGGATGCTATCGTGAAGTATTCACTCCGAGACTTTGGTTCGGCTGACAACTTCATCGACGACATTGTCGTACCTTGTGACCAAGCGGATGCGGTAGCTGATTGTCTCGCTTCCTATGGCCTGCCTACAAAACCTGCCGTGCCGTTCCCAGTTGCCACAATTCTCGGTCTGCAACTCTCTGCGGACGATAGTGGCAAGCTGTCCTGGAGGAGACGACAAGATGTCGATCTGAGCGAATCACCATTGATGACCAAGCGTGATGTGTTCAAGTGGTGTGGGAAGGCAACCAGTCACTACCCCGTAGCATCATGGCTGCGTCCACTGTGTTCGTGGATGAAGCGCCTGGCATGTGCTACCGCTGCACCCTGGGATCAACCGTTGCCTGATGACTTGCAACGTCTCTGCGAGGACGCTCGCAAGCGTGCCCTGCAGGAAGACCCTGTACACGGTGTGTGGCCTGCCCCTGCTGGGAATGATTGGTCTGTCTGGTGTGACGCATCCGACATTGCTTACGGCTGCGTGCTGACTGCGAACGGTCATGTGGTGGAGGACCAGGCTTGGCTCCGAAAGGAGGACGACCGCCGACATATCAATGTGGCAGAACTGGACGCTGCTGTGAACGGTCTCTCTCTTGCAGCAAAGTGGAAGCTGTCACGTGTAACGCTGTACACTGATTCCAAGACTGTCTACGGTTGGCTCTCTGGCAAGCTGGAGGCATCGCGTCGCGTCAAAGTTGGTGGATTGCAGGAGGTCGTGGTTCAGCGCCGCCTGCAGATCTTAGACGACATGGTGGAGGCCACAGGTATGAGCGTGTCTGTCCAATGGGTGCCGTCGGCTAAGAATCTTGCTGACCGTCTTACCCGTGTTCCCAGCCAATTTGTGCAGTACTGGAAGACAGTACAGAAGTCCAAGACTCCGTCCGTAAGTGCTGCCGCTCCTGCAGTACCTCGCTGTGTGCCCTTGCCAGAAATCGCGGCACACCAACAACTAGATTCGGTGATCCATGCGACTATTGCTGAACTGTCTGCTGGTGGAGATGTGTCCGCTACGGAATTCGCCAGGGTGAAGTCGCAGCTCACGACTTGTGACGGCATCTTGTTCCGTACTGTCAAGCTCCCGCCCAACGATGTCAAGTGTGTTCCGGTGGTACCTGTTTCCTTGTGTGATCAGGTCGTCAGCTCTGCTCATGAGTCCACTGGTCACAGCAGTTGGGAGACTACTTACCAGTTTCTCCGGTCTACCTGTTACTTCCCGTGTATGGCTGAGGCTTGTCAGCAGTTTGTGCAGCAGTGTCCCCAATGTGCAGCTGCCAATGCTGCCAAAGGTCCCTATCTATCATGCTGCTCCTCCTGGGGATGATTTGCTCATTCCTGATGCTGCTGCTCTGCATGCTGTCCCGGTTGTTCAGCGAGCGCTGCGTGACCGATCTGCCTTACAGCCTCCTGTGCGTTTTCGAGACACTGGTTCTGCCTGAGTTTGCTATTGTTGCAGCTCGTTCTGAGCAGGGTTTTTTGTGTTTTGCTTTTCCCTTCTATTTCTTTTTCTTTCTTTAGTGCTCTTCATTGCTGTGGTGTCCATCATGTGGCCACCAGGGGGAGGGGTGAAATGGAGTATCCCGTTGTACCCTTGTGCTGCAAACATTCCTCATGTGCGCTGCCTAGTAATCATTGTCACGTGCGTGCGCACGTGTATGCTGTTCCGTGTATGCACTCATGCATGCACTTTGTGTTCCTGTGTCCCGACATGCTTCCGGGACCCAGGCCGTTCTGTACGCATGCAGATTTGCTCTTGTGTTCTTGTTGTGTCTTGAGGAAGTTTGCAAGGAGTTGTGTCTTGCACTTAGCTTTGCTTTCACTCTCAAAACCATGTAAATATTTAATATAGTCTATTTTAGAACTCCTTGTGCGAGTTGTGGTGTCCGTGGGTTTGTAGTGTGGGTGCAGTTCCCCAACAGCGTCACAATCGCTATCTTTTAAAATGCTTTTTTGTTAATGTTCTGACCGGCAAAGTGGTGGCTATAAGGAAATGCTTGCTACCTTGTTTCTCACCGTTGTATTCGATTTGAAAAGTAATGTTACGAAAGGCCTAGTCGAAAGACTCGAAACTGTATGGCTTCTGGGATTTGTGTGCTGAATTGCTTTTCTCCAACCAAGAATCTATACACACACAAAAATGCACATAAACTCACCCTCATAAACACACAAACCTACACAAACGTACACAAACACACACACACACACATACACACACACACACACATATATTATGCCATGGATATCCTCCTAGAACAATAGCCTAACCTGGATACGGTCATTGTGAAAGTCCCCAACCAGCAATCTGCCGTTGGACGAGATAATACCCCATGGAAGGACGAACTGTCCTGGTCCACTTCCTTCAGTACCAAACTTGTTCAACTCCCTTCCTCCTTTCTCAAACACCTACATGTAGATCATGCAAATAGGCACAATCACACACCCACACACACCCCATACCCATACCCATACATACCCAGACACACGCATGCTCTCTCACACGTGCACGCACACACACACACACAAACACACACACACACACACACATACACACACACACACACACACAAGCACAAATACACATACATGCCTGTGGCGTAGGAAGTGGGGGAGGGGGGGGGCAAGGGGGGCAAGGGGGGGGGGGGCAGGTTACCCGAACCTTTTGGTGGATGTAGGGCCGAAACTCAGTGAACATGTTTGCACGTGCAGGCGAGAAGCATGCAGATCAATCAGTACGAGTCATGCAATCAGCTTGATCGTAGTAAGAGCTGACCCTGCAGTGGGTTCTGTTGTCATGTACAGTGCTGACCCGCAGAGAAATCCAACCTCATGAATAGAGTATCGCCGCGTTCGAGTGCACAGACCAGTATGTGTAGTGTTAGGGCAGTGTAGTGCACAGACCAGTATGTGTAGTGTTAGGGCAGTGTAGTGCACAGACCAGTATGTGTAGTGTTAGGGTAGTGTAGTGCACAGACCAGTATGTGTAGTGTTAGGGCAGTGTAGTGCACAGACCAGTATGTGTAGTGTTAGGGCAGTGTAGTGCACAGACCAGTATGTGTAGTGTTAGGGCAGTGTAGTGCACAGACCAGTATGTGTAGTGTTAGGGCAGTGTAGTGCACAGACCAGTATGTGTAGTGTTAGGGCAGTGTAGTGCACAGACCAGTATGTGTAGTGTTAGGGCAGTGTAGTGCACAGACCAGTATGTGTAGTGTTAGGGCAGTGTAGTGCACAGACCAGTATGTGTAGTGTTAGGGCAGTGTAGTGCACAGACCAGTATGTGTAGTGTTAGGGCAGTGTAGTGCATAGACCAGTATGTGTAGTGTTAGGGCAGTGTAGTGCACAGACCAGTATGTGTAATGTTAGGGCAGTGTAGTGCACAGACCAGTATGTGTAGTGTTAGGGCAGTGTAGTGCACAGACCAGTATGTGTAGTGTTAGGGCAGTGTAGTGCACAGACCAGTATGTGTAGTGTTAGGGCAGTGTAGTGCACAGACCAGTATGTGTAGTGCTAGGGCAGTGCAGCGCACAGACCAGTATGTGTAGTGTTAGGGCAGTGTAGTGCACAGACCAGTATGTGTAGTGTTAGGGCAGTGTAGTGCACAGACCAGTATGTGTAGTGTTAGGGCAGTGTAGTGTAGTGTAGTGTAGTGCTCAGCAACGCTATTTTATTCATGGCGTTGGATTTCTCTTTGCCCAGCACTGTACAGTGTACTTGACAGGCGCTAGGCTCAGAAAGTCTACACTGGATGACATCTAGAATACTTCAAGTAGAAGTGAGTGCCACCGGCGTGAAGCACGATTGCTAGATCCTCGCTTGGTCCTCTTTGAATTGTAGCTGCTAATTTAAAAGCGTTATTTTCCGTGGGAGGTTTTCTTCGAAATCAGAAAGGCGACAGTACTTTGCTTCAGACAGAGTCAGTTCTTCTCATTGCTATTTCGCAGCTTTCTGGAGAAAACCACTCTCCAGAAGAAGTTTTTGAGACTTACTGTTACTTGTCGGAAAGCAAGGTACGACTGACCAGTGGTAATACATTTCAACATGTTCATGGAGAAACTGAGCCTGAGGCATGCAGCTATCATTCGATGACCTCTAGACGATTATTTTCATCAGGGTCACATTAGTCATCTACACTATCGTGGAAAATTCGTTATGAACGGAACATGCTACTCCTAGTCGCAGGGTTTTTATCACTGGCGTGTGATGAGTCCGGGGTTCTTGTTTGTAATAGCTGAAAATCGGGGTTTTTTCGAACTTATACTTATCCCACTGTCCTCACCAGTAAATGTTGCTCTACGGTTGCCTCTAATTCACCATTACGGATACATTTCGCCTTCAGATAAATTTCTCCTTGGACATTGACCAGGCTGTCAGTCAGAGCTACTTATCCAGTGGTCGCTGCATGCAATCTCTTGTATTCAACATACATGCACAGGACATTCATTGTTCTTGTCCAGATTCGAGTACTAGTACAGGTCCTCCCTCGTTAGTAGATAATCTCTGGGCCATCAAAAAAAGTTATCCTATAATGAGACTTATCTTGTAGCAGGACGTGCAGCTAATGGTGAAATAGGTACTGCTTCGTACTTACCGGGGCTACCCTCGATACAACATAAATATTAGATGCTTCAACTCGTTATAAGATAATTGAAAATCTCCAACATAACTCTTCCTTGGATGCAAAGGATCGTCCATATTTACGAATACATAGATATCATACGTTTTGTCTTTCTGCTTTATCCTACGTGTTTTAGCCTTGATCCTGCTTGGTCAATATTATCTTATACTGAGGGTTTGGCACTCCAGGGACCTGGGCAAAGAGTCGTTATAACGAATTTTATGTACTAACGGATTTGTTGTAACCGGACCTGTAAACAGTTCTATAGACCACGTTTCTCCAGGGTTTTCAGATTTCTATTTACTAACGGGGTAAATGTACTAACCGGATTCGTTTTAATAAGGGAAGACATGTACTAGGTGTTCACATGTCCAGTGATGGAGAGTGAAATACTTGAACAATTACAACTTTCTGTAGAAGGATTACCGGTACGACCACACCAGTATATGAGCAGGTCAGTGGCTGGAAGTCCCCCCCCCCCCCCTCCCGAAACTAAAACATCTTCCTACACCACTGCATGCACACACATGTATACACTTCTCGCACTTGTTCACTTCTGAAAACTTGGGTCTCCTCGAGGGAGGGTAGAGAATTTCAAAAGGAATCTTGGAAAGGTGATTCAATTGGCTTGTGAACCGCCCAACACCTGAAACCCTCTGAAATGTCCAAACTCTGCGTGGATTTGACAATAATCTCACTTTTGGGCTCATCACACCTTTACAAGTGGGTAGGAACAAGGTTAAGAAGCAGCATCAGGGCATCGTCCTGGAATTCAACTGCATTTGTAGAGGTTTCAGCTGCCTCTTACTTCCACTAATGCATGTGTGTGTTCTCAGACAACTGGTATTAAGACACACCCACTTGGCAAGCACACCAGAATTTTTATGCATAGTAGTTATCTGGCACATATGGACACAAAGAAGGGATGAAAACGGGAAAGGAGGGAGAAAAGTGGCATTGTTCCTAATCTTTTATAAAAGGAGTCACGCCAAATATTGAAATAAATCAGGAAAGATTGAAAGGCTGAAGAATGTGGAGGTGATGACTAAGCGTGGCTGTGAGAAGGAACGGACTCGACACTACACCAAATGAATGGCAAGCGGCTGAATCGGTACACTACTATGTTGTCTTCGGAGACTGGTTGATGGACATTTCTGAGCCAAAGAAATCGGGTGATGTCTCGATCAGGCATCGTCAGCCCGACTTGCAAAATGCCTCCTCTACGTCACTGGTTATGCCGATCGGTTTCAGATGAAATCTGACCAGAATTCCACACAGATCTGGTAGCAAGCTTGGCCCACTTTCGAGGCAATAATTCAGGCAGTGGTTGTTGGGTTTCGTCTCGGCGCATCATAAGCAACTCGAATCTTCGTTGTCGTGTTGTCAGGCTTCACTACGCAGTGGTGTGGAATGTTGTGTTTCAAGGCGTCAGTGTTCTCGGTCATGTTGACTGTCTCGATGATGCCACTGTTGAGTTATCGTTGAATGGTGCCGTTGCATTTGTCGAGGATTGCAGATGCAACACAAGCCAGCAGAGCCGGCCACTTGCAAGCTTGTAATTCTCTGGTAGAGATGTGTCAGACGCACTATCTTTCTACGGCCATTCAACGCTATCGCCCGTTGACAACCTCACCGTCTCATTGAACGACTTCAACACTGCGTCTTCAGGCTGCAGAGTGTAGAAGTAGTAGTCACTACCAATGAGCATGTCTATTGTCACGACTTCTGGTCGATCAGCAATGGGTTCTGCTAAGCCCATTTGCTGCAGGCTGGGGTGTTTCCTCATACCGATTGGCAGGCGCCTCATTGTAGAACTGATGTTCGGGGTGATGTTTGCTGTAATGGGGACGTTACCGCCATCAATGGTCTTCACTTGGATTTGGACCTCTTTCAAGACCTTGGTCTCCCTCTTCTTTGAACCAAACGTAGCGATCGACAGGGCATCTTCACCAATGACGTCGGCATTCAAGGTGTTCTGCGTCGCCTCGCTGATAAAGGACCGTGTAGAGTTTGGTGTCGAAAAACACTCGCACTCGGCAAGACCGCTTGCTGTCGTTATCTGTGAGGTCAGCTAAAGTCATCTGCATAAGCACCGCCGATTGTTCTGTGTCACTCACTGTGTGAATTTCCATTGGCTCAGGCTGTCAAATTTGCAATCAGCAATTGTTGCTGTTTCGGACCGTGCGTTTGCAGATCTTGATTGAAATGGCTTCGCATCTCCATTCCGTGCGTTCGTGCTTTTGCCTCCAAACTTCTCCGGGCACAAGGATCTGTGGTGAGTGTCGCATTGACAGTGATAGCATGGTCGGGGTTGTTGCAGTTTCGTGCGGTGTGTCCCGACCGAAGACAGACGAAGCACCGGTTTTCTGTCTTTGCCTTCCTCTACTCTAGCATCACGCACTTCGTACATTCGTCTGTAAAGTGGGTATCTTTGCAGTTAAAGCATCGGGGTGGTGACAGCTGTGCTGTGTGTGATAGTAGAGCTTCTGCCGATGAACGTGTGTAGCTCGGCAAACCGCCAACACTGCGTGGGCTGTCTGTGACTAGCCTACTGTCGGCGTGTGCAGTGCATGTTTTCTTTACTTCGACATATCGTAACAGAGCTTTGCATAGTGTGTGAACAATCTAGATACTGTTTCCGCGGGTGATTTCCAAGTCGAAAATTATGGTTTCTGGCAGCTTTGCCATGACAATGGACAAGAAGATTTTCTGGTTCATATCTTTGCCAACAGCCTCCAGAGATCGCAAATGCCTTTCGATCTGTGTGTGGAGTTTTCTTAGTGTGTTGGTG